CCCATCATGATTCTACCCTACAACAAGTGATCGATTTCCACCGCGATGGTTGGTCTAAGAAAGTTACAACGCCGGAGCTTCAACAATTCCACCAACGGAAGGAAGCACTATCAGTCGTCAGCAATTGTCTGCTGTTCTCAGATCGCGTCGTCATTCCTCTCATGCTTCAAGAGAGAGTTTTCCGACAATTTCATACTGGTCCCCAAGGAATGAATCGCATGAAATCGCTGGTACGAAGCTATGTGGATTGGCCCTACGTGGGTTCCCAGATCGAGAATTTAACGAAGAATTGTCACCGATGTGCCAGTGTATCTAAACAGCCAAGTAAGACGGAATTGCAATCCTGGACAATACCAACGGAACCATGGTCAAAGGTACACGTCGACTTTGCGGATCCAATTGACAGTCATCATTTTCTCATCGTTTTCGATACCCACAGTAAATGGCCAGAGGTGAATCCAATGGTGAGAACCACGGCAGCAGCCACTGTCTCTACTCTCTGACAGGTATTTTCTCGTTTCTGTGTTCCCCACACATTGGTTTCAGACAACATTACACAATGCACCTCCTCTGAATTTGTTGTCTTCTGTCGCAGAAACACGATCGTCCACGTAAGGTCTCCACCTTTTCACCCACAATCGAACGGGCAAGCGGAACGCTTTGTAGATACACTCAAAAGAGCCTTGCTAAAATGAAAGGGGATGGTACCTTGGAGGAGATTCTTGACACATTTCTTCTGACGTATCGCACAGCTCCAAATCCACAGACACCGAAAGCATTATCTCCGGCTGAAAATTTGTTTAAAAGAAAAATCCGTGTGCCGCATGATGCCCTCAGACCCAGGAAGGAACAGTTACTGTCCCGCAATCATCATAAGGAGCGTCAATTCACTATCTGACACGGGGCTAGGAAGCGACCCTTAAATGTTGGCCAACAAGTTTTGGCGAGAGATCATCGCATCCACTATCCTAAATGGGCTATGGACCGTGTGCAATACAAACGTGATAAGGTGATCTACGGTATCCAGGTTGGAACGGCAATTTGGGTAAGACATGCCAATCAGCTGCTAGAGGCAGGGACTGGCGAACGACTGCAACAACAAGTACCAGCAGCGCAGTTATCTCTGGACATACTGGCCGACGCGGGTGAAGCGAAGACTCCCCAACATGCCCCAACACTGCAACCCCAACATTCGCCCCGAAACCTAGCAGCACAGAGGCCGAAGAGGCAATGCAAATTCGTGTCACCCATGCAAGTCAACCCCAAGCTGAAATCGTACGACACAATTCAAAAGGGGGAAGTGTTAGAAAGGAATACGCGATGCGAACAAGCCAGGACCCCATCGCTGCGGCAGACGATCCAAACTCACCCGCCCTGATTGGGGTGAACAGACAGCCAACCGGGAGAAGCGACCAATTAACGCGAGATTGGCACCTTTCCAGAGCTTTCCACGTGCGCTTTAAATACCATTCACGAAGTTTCCATTTCACCTTTATAATGCACGGTGTGATTCGCTAATACATGCTGTTGCTCTGCTTGTCCGATCCGGTCTTCTCTGTCCTGTGGGGACCAGCGACTTCAGGTTTTGATTGGGAATCAAGCGTCCATTCAGGCGACGGACGAACACATCAGACTGGAGACAAAGAAAGTGTAACCTATCCCTACTAGACAGACCAAACGAGAATTCCTTTTCAACACTTGAGTTGTCATATACTGGTAGTGTCCAGAGCAAAACTGTTAGTATCAGCGTGGTTTTGTGTCCTAAATGCCGCAGTGTTCTAACGAGAGTTCGGTAGGTTTACTGCAGCTTGTGAAGGAGATGCATCAGTGTTCTGAGTGAAGATCAGTTAGTTCAATGTGAACAGCTATCAAAGTCCTGAAGAGGAAGCGGTTGTTAGCTGCGCAGTTTAAGTCGCCGTAGGGCAATTGTGTTGAGGTCAGCGCGGCGAAATCTGCGCAAGTTTGGCGGGGCTGTCCCAGATCCGCAATGAACAGTTTGCTCGGACTGGATTCACCCATTCATAAACAGCAGCGCGTGCGCATGATTTATCTCACTGACCGGTAGTGACCAGGAGAGATTAGTCCGTGGAGAGAAATTGTCATCAAACTTTTTAGATGCATTTTGTTACTTGTGTTATCACAATCCAGATTTCACACCATGGTGCCCTGTGGCCCCCCATCAATTTGGTTTATCTAAGGCCCCCTGGAATTCTCTATGACCCACCTGATGGTCATGTGGTTCCCGTTGATATTGACGGAGCTAGCCAACCGCAGAGCAAGCATTGATAATTCAGCCTAGCGCGTGCGCTTTGTTGCCTAGGCTGAGTGCGCGCCGCGTATCCTATGGCATACACGATAGGCCAACTGCGCATGCGTGCACTGCTAATTCCGCCACATCTCATGCGCTGTGCAAAATGACCTGCCAGAATGGCTGAGTACGGGAACATCGCCAGGCAGCTGAACGATAGCACGATAAGGAAACGGCTGACAAACCAATGCTGTTGATCGCTGCAGTTGCTGTTTGCTTGTCCGTCCGCACTCGTAGCCGAGTAAGCTTCTCGTGTGGTCGGCTGCGTCTTATTCTTAGACGGTGCAGTTTGGGGACCAGTCTGCACTTCACATGCGGTCACACCAAGGGGAAGAGTTGCGAGTGTGACGCTGAGCGCATGTGCAGTCGTATGGACGCTTGCGGTCATGTCGATTGGACGGTTTGAGTTGAGAGAGAACGCGTCGGGTTAATACTTCAGGTGCCTTGGTGCGGCAAGAAATGTGCTGCTAGACGTGTGTTCTCAGACTAACGGTAGATTCCAAATTTGCAATGGTTTCCATTACTAGCCTACGGAACATGCTATACTTGTATTATTTTACGAGTAATAAACCATTGTACTAGTAGTTGATTTCATCAATTAGTGATAACATGCATCAAACCCAGGTCAAGTGAAATGTCAGCTGTAATCTCTACCGCTAAGATATCGAGGCACGACGAGCAACGCTTGTCACAACTGTTTCTGACATCTGGAATAAGAGAAAAAATTGGTAGCTGAGGTTGTTCTTGTGGCAGTCGAACCGTTCGCTGAGCTTGACAAGTTTGTTGCAAACGTTTCGTCACCAATTGAGGTGACATCATCAGTGCGTTGTCGAATAGCGCGTAGTCGGTATTGTAGCGTAGGTAAGTCTCGGTTCCTGACCTATAGGATAGGGCATTTTGAAACACTCGTGTAAATGGATTGCAACGCATAATTCCATTGTGGAACGCGATTCGCACTGAAGTGAACCCTGGTCAATGCGGTCACTAGTTATGTAAATGAAGTAGATGAATATTGGGTAGCTCAGAGACGCCAGCTGACATCCCAAAGGCTGCTGGTTTCAGTGCCTCCTATCTCCACCTAATGAGTTCAAAGAAGTTGGAAAGCGGTTGCGGAGTGCAGTGTTTCCGTACGTGAGAAATCCAAAATTCATCTGTTTCAACTACAGCCCCACTGATTGAGTTGACCTAGATTTGCTTTAATGCGAATCGCGGCTCACACTGGGACTGCGGTCCATAGTCTACTTACTCAGTAAGTGTTCTAAAATGACCGCCGGAAAAATAATACTTCTTTGGCCCAGTGACAAACATAGAGAGAGATGCGTCCGTCTCCTACCGTACGTCACCCTTCAGATTCATCAGTTAAGAGGTTGGCTGAATTGGGAAACTTATTTAGAGGGATCGAAACTTGCATCTTAGAACATTCAAGTGCTGTAGACTATCACATAAGCATAGCCATCAAACAGGTATCCGTACCCCCTTAACGGAAATATCGGATCTTATTTTCAAAATTGGTTATCCATCACATTGTCTTCGATATCACTGATAGTTTGCTAGAGGGAAATACTTGCATTTTAAACAGGCAGGGCATTGCAAGTTTCTAAAATACGAGGAATACAGTTTTGAACCATCACTCCGAAAATGGCATGCCTCCCCTATGCGCTGATATTCCCTAAAAGAACATTGAACGTTCTTTCGTATATTAAATTCAGTTTAGTTGTCGCACAATGTTCCGAAAGATAAAATACAAAGAATTCAGATGTCTAGATTCATAGCTATAATAATTACTGTAAGAATAATAATGTATTGAGTAGTGGGCGAGAAAGTAGTGAGCGAATTAACAAACTAAGGTTTCTGGAAAAAGGTATGATAAGAAGCTGCTTACTTGAACCTATAGCAAGTGCAAACTACGGCCCAAATACAAAATCGCTATTGGCCATATGATGGGATCAGGTAGAAGTGCCAGAGTCGCGAATAATGTGAATTTCAACCAAAAAAGGAAATTTGTGTATGTTAACATTTTTATTATAGCGGACTTTTGTATGAGATCCCGTGGTTCTCATCTTAATTCGGGACGGCCATCGAAATGCTTCGGTCTGCGGGTAATCCTGCATTACACTACATTGCGTTGACTGGAATGAGTAGATGGACTTGCACCGCGTCACTAGTCTGAAAGCAACGACTAAATGAAGCCATTCGACTCGGGATCTTTCTGTTACCACAGTTTTTTTAAGTCACCTCAGACCTTTGTAAACATGATAGACTAGATACTGAAACCCTGTGCATATGTGGATGTTTCAGGAAGTGGTTGTAACGCATTAAGCTTGCTGAACTATCCTCATAACTTGCCTAGTAAGACAAGGGATGTAATACTCGTACAGGCTCGTCCGCAGTCCCCTCGGGCTTCCAACACTGTTAAAGTGAGAACGTACAGAACAAACGCCTTGGTGTGCAAAAACAACAACACATGGTAATGAAAATTTGCTCATCCACTGAGTCGGAAGCAACGTACAACGATTACATTTTAACAATGATGGTATCTGAGATTTAAGCCACATCGTCCCATATCCCACAAATATCTTGTTCGGTCCACATCGGCTACATAGTTTGACTAACATAGATAGTCAGTGGCTATTATCCACTTTGGTGTGACAGACGCTCTAGGACAATATGCAGCGTATCTAGAGAGACTCACAGTTGGACAATTTCTTGGAAGCACATGGATGCTTGAAAGGTTTGCCCCCGACATCGCAGGCAAACTCCCTTGAGTAACAGAGCAAGGCAGTAATCGTCGTAATGGTTTTCGTATTGATCTAGAAATGAAAAAAGTTCAATTCAAGTGATAAAATGTTATCACGATTGGTTGCCAATCTATTGTTAGCCTAGCATAACCAGTGGTTGGTTGGTTGATTCTTGTCAACCTACTTAACACCATTGCTCAGTTCACTGGTATGGAATGCTCAAGGCGAAATCAGAATCACCCGGATAACCAAGTGAACTTTCGCGATACTATTGTTAGCTAAAGTAATAGGCGACGTTCTACATCAAGAACGTCTCCGAACTAACAGGAAGGTTGCTGCAGTCACATGGGATCTCTGTGGCTCACAAACCAAGTGCCACCCTAAGGAAATTGATCTCAAGACCCAAAGAGCAAGTCAGTCAAGCCAACCAATGCAGTGTCAACTATCAGCTAAAATGCAGAGGCTACGATAAAAATTACGTTGGACAAACTGGAAGAATGCTTTGTACACGAATCACCGAACACAAGCCGGCCGTCAGAAGACATGATCCCCACTCATTGGTTTCCGCGCATGAAGATCAAGAAGGCCACCATTTCGATCTGGAGAATGTAAACATCCTAGCACATGGAAGTACAAAACACGCGAGGGAGTTTTTGGAAGCCTGGTACTCTAAAACGAATTCAATCAACCGCCACGTCGAACTAGACTCAGTATACGCAACACTACTGGCGAACGAACGCCAACTCAATCGATTGAAGCCGGTGGAACGTGTGACTAGCCAACCAAAACTGACGACAGACTCGCTCACAAGCGCAAGCAGACAAAGGCCACTAAACACAAGAAGTCGAGATCAAAGGTCATCCGCCCATGAACCAGGCTGAAGGCGGATTGAAATCCCAACCAATAGGATTGCTCGCGTCCATGGGTAACCACAGCGGTATTCAAACGTACGCACACCACGCTCAGCGCATTCTCACCGAGGCTACTCTACGTTTGCAACCAAATTGCTAAGCTCAGCGAACAGTTCAACTGCCATATGAACAACCTGAGCTACCAGTCCTCAATTATATATCGAACCATTTGGTAAATCAACTACTGTGCCGGTTGCGAAGACACAAATCATTGTACTGTAGAGAACTTTGAGATTGCTTTTCAGTCATCGAAATCATAGTGGATCGAGTTGGGGGTAAAAACTTCGTTCTTCTTAGTTAAGCGCTGGTCAGCGCCACATGATCCTTTTGTTGAATGAGCGCTGGATTTTCCCGAAGCAATTTTATCCTTCTTGTGTATGTGGCTACGTATGATGGTGCGGCACTCTATTATAGGTTGCACCATGCGGTTTAATGCATCAAACCGTGTCTGGGATAGTGAAAAGAAACTTGTGCTTTAGCTTGTTGGATGTTTCGCTTTCCCTACTTGATGCAGGATGAGTACGGAGAAGCTGAAGCTGCTAGAATGTCGAGTTCCCAAGGATTGGGGCGCTGATACATTCTACTGGCTTACAGCATCTATGGCGGAGTAGCTGGGATTTGTATGCTGAAAACCTCCTAAACCTTCTTCCACTCCACGTGTTTTGGGGTGGTAGATCTTTGCGTATATGTTGCTCCGGTGGAATGAGTACACTGGTTTGGTGTCGTCGCAGATAAAAGTGTGCGCCGTCTAATGTATTCACATATATCGTTTATGTAAATGAGGAAAAGCAATAGACCTAATACACTGTCGTCAACGACATCATTAGTGACATTTCGGGGAACAGAACAGTGGTGACCTATGTGTACACCTGTGTTCGGTCGTTCAGATGTGAGTCGACCCAGCTCATTAGAGGGTTGCTAATCCAATAGGACTCAAGCACAGCTAACAGAGATTTGTGCGGTACGCAGTCAAATGCTTTCTGTACATACAAAAGAATGCTTATGGCCTTGACATCATCAATCGTTGCTGTAACCTGATCAAGTTAAATTGATTCACATGTGGCACAGGTATGATTTGGTGAACCCGTTTGGTGAACTGCTGAATTGGTATTTTCTTATCAAAGTAACGAGATTCTAGACGAGTGTTTTTAAGCCCTTAGTAGCGACGGAAGATAGATAATCAGACAACCGATCTCCTGGACGGCATTTGGAGTTCGGTCTAATTATAGAACTTTTCTATTGAAACTGGAAACAGTGTAAAAGAGGGTAAAAACGTTCAGCTTGAGGAGGGGTACGTTTTCGCCACCTAGCATTTTAACCGCACGGAGAATGCCATCAGGTCCTGTTGGGATGTAGGTTTGATGGATGTAACAGTCATCCATATGTCCTTCACGCCAAAAAGTACATACCACCGTACCTATTCAGTGGTTAGAGGACAGAATACAGATGATACAGTATCAAACGAAGCGGCAAAGTAGCAAACTAACGATTAATCAATATTAGGAATATATCAGGCGTCACTGTACCGTCGTTTGAAAGTGAATTCGGAATATCATGATGTCGTTTTGGATTTCTTCTTCCGAGTAACTACATCAAGGCACAAACTATCTGTGAATTCCTGATGGTTCGGTATTCTGTGGTAATTCTAGACTGTTGTCTGGTATGCAAGCCTCAGTACGATTCCGTGTATTTGAATTAAAATGAGATGTTGTTTTTACCGTGCAGTGATCTCATTTGCTTTAGCTTTAAAGCCGTCTTGGAAGCATGTTTGCATCGGCCGCCGAAATGTTCTGTGTTTAACTTCAACGTAGGCGCCAGAATGTCCATATATGTGATGCTGTTTTTGGCGACTTCGCCTACAGCTAAAGACGAAACAGGTGTGGCGAATTAATGGTCCTAACACAAATTCCTAAGGAGATAGTTAAATGCGCTGCAATCTGTAATATTCATTTTGCAGAACACCGTATCGTGGTCACATGCTGTTAATGGGTCATTAATTAATACGTAAACAACTAGAATACCTACTAGGAAAACCAGATCTAATATGTTGTCCAACCTGGTAGGCTGTCTAACGTGTCGACCCTGCGCAGTGCTACAGACACAAAGGGATTATTTCCGCAAGTCCATCTGTTGTGGCAGACCTGTGCGACATCCGGTTTACATTTGACGGATTGAAATTTCTACATAAATGTGGAGTGATAGAAGCAGCAATACTGGCAGAAATTAGCTGCTGTGATGCATGGGGGTGATATCAGGAGGTCTTCAAACGCAGCCCAATAGAACGTCCGAGGCAGGAATTGTTGTCAACCATAATGAGTCTCCTAAGCCACTAAAACCAGTCATTTGATAGTGCTGTTATATCATGGCGTATGTAGATGGCACAGCCACTACCACGTTTGCGCCCACCACCCTTCCGAAACAACAGATAACCCAGAACACAACGTAAAGTCACGGATAGCTAATGTACCACATGCTTCAACGATGAAAACACTGTGGGGACATTTATGGAACATAAACATTGTGAAAGCGTCCAGTGTGGATAATAGCGAGCGGCTAGTTATAATAGTGCTTATGAGAAAAGAATGAGGAAGGATGCACAGGTTTGATTACATCACACTCCCTGTCATCACGCACGTGCGTGGTGCGCAGCAAGGAAGCAAGTGGGCTCTTTTATGTGCTACGTTGTATTGGTTCCATCGAGGAAGATCATCAAACAAATGGATTCTTATTTGGTTGTGTTTGGGGGCGGATGCTGGCCTAAAATGTCCCCAATAAAAGGTGAGGAGATGGTTTCGTAGGTGGAAGCGGCTGTGGGGGGTTGAATAGAAACCGAAGGTGCCATTAGATGATAGTGTTCATTTCAAGGTGTATGTCCCTATACGTTTCTCTACTCCTGTCATAAGATGCCACTTTTTCGAGTTAAAAAGTTGCCATCTCTGAGTCGGAGAAATATGTAACAGGATGTTTATCATAGTGGAAAGTAGGTCGATTTGCTACTACTGACCTCCGAATCTGTTTCAACCTCATATTCAGAAGTGTGACAGCGTACCGTTTTCCTCCGCTGGTTTAATGTCCGTTTCTGCTATCATGGTGGAGTATGTTTAGGTGTCAACGACTGCTGGGCATTGTCATTGTGTGTGTGCTAGCAATGCGACTTTCTGTGATGCCATATATGTCTAGTTGGAACTAGAGATGATTGCTGTGATATCCATTTGTAGCTTGATACTTAGCTACTGCCACAGATTTTACTGCTGGTTGCTAGTGGAAGGGGCAGCTGAAACGGCAGTACCTTCTTCTGGAATTGTGACAGTAACAGTACGTGTGCTTCATATCTTTTGTCCGGATCGCGTCAGCATTATCGTTAAACTAGACCTCGTGTGTAGGTTGATGGACTCGGTGCTGGTGAATATCTTCAGATGGAGACGGTGCTGGTGACCTGGCGAGGTCTACATGTTAATCGATGCAATCAGTATAACTGTGAAAGCTCTGAACACCTGAGTGCTTCACCAAACCGCTTTGTAGTGACGTTTGGTCCCTTGTGCTCGGCCTGGTAAGCGCATTTCCTGCAGTAATGAGTTGTTTGTTATGTACAAAATGTTCAGCCGTTGCCTCATCTGAGGCATCATCTAATTGCCATCTTCTGGAGTCTGCGGCATAGGCGTTTAGAGTTGCTCATATTGCATGCCGTGAGCAAAGTATTTTGTACTTTCTCTACACTCGGTCTGTCTAGTGCGTTGAGCACAATTACACCTTTTGAGCAGCGTACTAGTTCCTGAGTCTCAGTTGTGATTAAGGACAAAGGAAAGCCAGCCGTGTGTTGTGTACCTGATTTTACGTCTTTCGAGCCTTTAGGTAGTCCACAGAAGGACAGAAATTGGTAGTATTATGCGCCAAAACGCAGTAGTTTGTTTTGAATGGGGTAACGTCATTTTCCAGAGCAGTGATGCGGTTTCGTATTTCAGGTAGAAAATCAGTCCTATTATTAGAGCGGCAGCTAGTATGTCCTGTTGCTCCGTACATTTAGCTGAGGCACTTTTTTCGGTGGCATTATCGCTGCAGAGTGCTACTGTTACTGTTTTCGCCTATTTATGATGCTTTACGTTTTGCTGCTGCTAGCAGCAATTCGGTATCCACTCCAAAAGGTTAAACTATTTGTAAATCGACAAATCTTCTACGAAGCCTAGAAGTGATCACCCAAATAGTAGTCCAGTTTTACCAATTCAGTTAAATGCGACAGAAACCAACCACTTCATTCGGTTTTTCTAGTTAACCCATCGCTTGTCAATGATGTGGTTGAGTTTAGCTGGATGGCTTCACTGCAGAAAAGTGAACCTTACCTTCGCACCCGATGTGATAACCCTTGGCTTCACCACGTTGCGGGCCATAGTGAAGGTGGTTGGAAGGCGAATTCACAGGCACTACAAACTGACATCTCGGGATTGTTGTGGGAACTGAATTGTGTAAGACAATTGCACGCCAGCAGTTTGTTTGGGGAAAGAAGGCTGGATGAACGAATTACTTATCAACAGTGCTGACACAGGCCGATGTTCCCCACTTATTCGGGTGAATGCCTAGATATCAGTTGTATCATGGAAGTAAACCTTTATCTGATATGTTGAAGCGCTTTCATCTGATCTACTAGCTCCAAACGTCAGTTTTTCCGTCCAGCGACTCTAACCTCCGTTAGAAACCCACCTCCGAACCAATTTCTACCTATTTTACACTTTCGAAGTTGTAGCCGCATGACAATAGGTGTGTGTGAAATCAGATCCACATAACTACGTTGATAATGCGGGGGGCGTTCACGTGGAAAGAACCCACGAACTCCTCGTACTCGCATCGATCGAGGAAGCAGTTAGACTGTTTTAACAACTGGCATCTGAAACTTCGGTGAATTATGGAAATTGCGGTTACGTCCGTAAAAGGGTTCACAATGTCTTATCCATCATCATTGGTCGGAGTGGAGCGATATTTCTCGTTCCAATTATCAGTTGGTTTTAACGAGCATTGTTTCACGTTTGTATTTACTTGTGGTCTGGAATTCCCACTTACGGGAGTAAACATTTCGGAGTTACTCACTACGGTAAAGTAGGCTGTTAACACATGGAAAGTGACGAGAAAGGCATCCTGGTGTTTTTTCGATTAGAGTAAATGCGTTTTGTATTGCATTTACTGTAATAAACAATGTAATTCCACCATAATGAGCGTAGAGAACCTGCTGTCAGTTCACTGATCTCTTATACTTTGACAAGAAGTGATCGGAGGAAGGGCAATGAACCGATGAGCACTGAACACTAAATGGTAACAAACAACCTATTTGGTCCACAACGAGAGCGGGAGTTAATTAGAGTTGATTTGGAAAAGCTGCACCTAAAAATAGGTCCCGCACTTACCCTTATGCTGCATCAGTTCGTTGATTTTGTTCTCGCAGATCATAAGGAAGGACATGACGGAGTCCAGCTGACACTGGATCATTTTGAAACCATTCCAGATGTACAGGAGTTCCTTAAAGGGTAAAAAAGCACGCGGAGCTAGTCGGGCTAATGCATGAATAACAAGTTTGATAGCTGTCAATACAGAACAAACAACCAAATTTAAAAGGTAAAAGGTCTTAGCAAATTCCATTTTCGCATTCCAGATTAGATTCGTGAGTAGAAATTTTAACGTAATGGAAGTTTCTAGTTGTAGTCTTTTAACGTAGGGCAACAATCCTGATGTCGTGAGTTTAACAAAATGAGATACTTTCGGATGCGTAAGTGAAAGGGAACTTCTAACCCAGTGGATGAAGGTTGAAAGATGAGCTGTAGCGTGGTGTGAAGCTAGGGATGAGGTAAATCGAAACTACTAATTATCGTTAGGCGGCTCTCGATGACGCGTAATTAACAGTGCTGGATGTTGTAAAACAGACTTTATATTTGTTACCGGCTTCCTGTATACCAAGTGTGTACACTAGCCTCTATTTCTAAGCCGCATTGGTATCCCATTTTGAAAAGACTCATTACGGATACTGTTAGATATGCATCACCTGAACATCCGGTAGAATAAGAAACCTCTGCGTCACCATTGCACCGCTCGTCAGCAGTGGATATTCCAACTGTCAGGGGAAGGACAATGACACAATCTTTCTGCCTTGAACCGATGATGAGGACCACATGGTTGTTGTCAAAAACTCCTGTAAACATTTTTGTTTTAGGTTCTAATCTACGTATTTCGTAATGCGCTTTGACATGTCTGCAATTTTCACCCTTAAACCAGTGATGAGCTTCGTACTGAACATTTTCCTCCTGGATAAATGTAAGCAAACCGATGTTACGTAACGGATGAAGAATGGCGCACACGTTAACATAGATTAACAGACAACCACCCAATCAGGAATGAGAACCTTGCGTCAGCCAGGCTTATTAGCTCATTAATACCGCGGGTGCCCCCAGGTAACCAAGAATCGCGATTACCACCGCAACTGACATTGTCCTGACTGTGGAACTTAGCAATCGGGTTGTATCGGATGTAGACCTGCTGAATAACCAGTTTGCAATCAGAGTGCCTCAGGCGCACTTATATATTTATTTGTTTATTATACATACTGATGGAGTCCGAATTATTGAATCCCGCTTTCTATCGATATACACATGTGCGCTGAATCCGCAATGCTTCCTGCCACACCAGGGTCTAGCAAGAGATATTTGTGCGAACATTTGGTGGCAATACTAGCCCGAACTCCAGTGATGCAGACTTTTTGGTGGATGAAATGTGATCACATCGTGTATATTACAAATCGCGGAAACCAAAAGGGTTTAATATGTAAATAAACGGTGCTTGCAACGAATCGTCATATTATATGATGCACAATGATGAAGTGCATTTAATGACGTATTACAGATGGAGGAATAAGCAGCCGGTTACTTGGGTGTGTATGGTATGCAGGTGTTGGCGCACTCGTTTGTCTGATGGAATAATGGGCGATGTGTGGAGATTTGACTACTGCAGCTTAATCTTAATCTGTCATTCGATTCGATGTCGGACACATTTAAAGGAAAACTCAAAGCAACAACAAACGATTACGTGAGAGTCTGTCGCTGGAGCACACTAAAGGGGGTGCTGCTAAATCGAAGTTTCTCAAATTTTAAGCAATGAGATAGCCGATGCCTTAGTATGTTGTTGTGGGTGTGTGTGCCATTAGGATCACTCCGTATGAATTAATGTAATGTACGCCCAAGAACACGTATGGCCGACTGACTACTATACGGCCGCACTTTAACTTGGCACTCGCTGCACTCGCTGTGGTCACTCCAGCACTCCACACTCATTCTTGTGCGAGCGCACTTTCGAACCAATTTGACGAGTGCTATGCAGTGTCTTCAATCTCTTGGAGCTAACTAGTGTTGTTCATACTGTTACTCCAGTTCTCAGTTCGGAATATCCTTCGTAGAATTCTGCATTTGAAATCACATCACTCACGAGTTTTCGAGATTAATTTTGGTCTCATTCGGTAGAAGAAGCTGAGGACACTCAAACGACCCTCCAAACAACCCTAGATACCAGAGAATAACAATGTTACGAGACATTTTGTGTCGTTCACCCACTAAACATCGCGTCCAAGACACTTAGAGTAGCTGGCTTAAAGCCTCGCGTGCATCGTCGCGTAACACCACCCCATCAATACACGTCGCGTCTGCGTGTGCTTGTGTGCGCACCGCTGAATAACAATATGTGCGCGCCACCGCAACTGGGTTGGCAGCATCCAGTTTCGGATTTGCTTGTCACTGTGGCCAGCCACAGGACGCCTGCGCCTACAGAGAGACAATGAGTAATTTGCGCTGCACCACCCACAGTTACATCCACACACCCAGTGTAAACAAGAGGCATGTGGATGGGAGCCACGTTTCATCAACGGAGTCGGCCCACACTCCTTCACAGGCAAACACAAGCACGCTGTATTTGGGGAATCAAGCGCACACAAGGCGGTGGCTGGACCGTAGTCCGCTACATACTGAGTGCATGGAAGCACTCTTCGAGCATAACACGATCACTAGTACCGTGAACCCCGTCCCTTTCAGCAACAAGCAACTGTCTCCTGGAGCCAGTATGGATGAGGTAATGGGTAGTAGACAGCTAGGCAACTTGTCAACATGCATATCAAGTGCAGCCACACCTGGGATGTCAAACAACAGCCAATCATTCGGATTTTCCTGCCAGTGTGGCCAGCCACAGGACGCCTGCGCCTACAGAAGGACCATGGGTGGCTTGCGCTGCACCAGCCACAGCTCCATCTACACACCCCAGCGCAACAGGGAGAGACATTGAAACAGCCACTCTGTCGGCTGGCTGACCTAGAGGACGGATCAATCAATTCAGGGTCCTGGGTAGAACTACCCATCACATGTTCACATGCCCTGATGAGTGCAAATACCTGAGCCCCGGCGCCTAAACGCGCCTGTGGAACGTGCAATAAGGTTGCAAAATTAGGAGTTTCCTGTAGCAATTGCTCAGCCTAGATACAGGGGAAATGCGGGAAAATCACATCAAGCGAGTTTTGTGCAAAGCGTAAAGCTGTCCCAATAGTTAAAACGGTAATTGCACTGTCCCAGAAGTATAAAAGGCATGTAGACGCAGTTGAGAAGATCCTGGGCACCAAAATAGCTACGGTAGGAATAAGCATAGCAGAATGTCTGACACGGGCCCCTCCACCAAACTCCACTGCAAGTCGAATCAACAACGCCGATGCTACAATAAGAAAGTTGCTCCTGCAAACACTGCTAATAATACAAATGACACAAGCGTTTCAGAACACTGAAACAAAAATTTCTCACAAACCCACTTCTTCCCATCAGACTTTGCCCCAAACCAGGAAACATGCAAATACCAATGGCAGCTGCACCGTTGTTGCATCAAGGTGCACTCGAAAACCAGACTCTGCTGTTTCTACTACCACATCCATAACTAATATGGTACGCAGTGCTGTACGGATGTATAGGGAAAAGCTCAGTCTCCTAACCGCGGTCCATATTCCCAGGAAAGACACTTAGAAACAATTGGACGCCCTAGCTATACTATGTACCAATGTTCCGGAGTCAACATTGAATTCTTTGAAGGGGAAACAGGTGGATGAGCTGAACCAATGGAATGCCATAAGTAACCTCCTCGGTATTCTGACTAAACCCTCCAACTTGACGAGTATCACTCGCTACCCGAATCTCAAGCATTATGGAGAAGCAAGACTTCTTCGGGTTGTGCTAAACTCTGTCGATGAAGAGGAAGCAGCGTTGCTTTCGACTTCTCGTTTCCAGAACGAAATCGGTTTAGTCCGCGTTTTTCCAGACGTTTCATAAAGTGAGCGCAAGCGAGTGAGTCAGAGCTTAGAAGTGTTTCGGCTAAACATAGCAGTCAGAACTTTTTTTGTCCACGTCGTCCCCCAGTCTCATGAGCCCGATGAATATGAAGCAAAGGCACACGACCAGAGCAGCGGCGCTATATTATTGAGACCCTGCTCTTAAATGACCTTGGGGCTACTTCTCTCTCGAGGCCGCCAAGATCGAAAAGCTACAAGGGGTGCGGCCCAAGGATAATTAAGTTGCTGCTAAAAACTAGGCAGATGGCACTTAAGCTACTGGAACGCTGGCATTCACTTCGGAACAGGATGCCAACAGAGCTCTGGTTCAAAGCGGTACCACCACAGCAGACAAACGAAGTAGTGATCTTATCCGAAATTCTCACCGGAAGCATGTCTCAAGGAAGTGAGTATCATCCTGTACAATCCTTCAGCCACTCCCCATGCATTGTGCAAACTGAGTAGTCAGAAGGGCTAATCATGATTCCACCGTACCCAACTCCAATCGACTCACAAAAAATACCACAAAAACGGCTAGAGACCAAACATACAACGGTCGGCACAACTTCTCATCCTAGCCACAAGTGTGTAGGATCGCTGTTGAGAACCGAAACACTTCTCTGCATGTACACCAATGCCCAAAGCTTCCTCAGCAAAATCGCCGAGCTTCCGTTGCGTCAGGAAACAAAGGCTTGGGACCTCATCCCCATGATCGAGACTTGGTTGTACTCAGGGATTACGGATGACGAGATCGCGATTGAGGTTACGTCCTTGTTCCGAAACAACCGTCCCAGCAGGGAAGGTGGTGCTATCCTATACAATCGTAACGGCTAACAATGCAAACCACTGGATGAGCCGAAAACGCGGGTCACCGATTCGCTATGGGGCCGTTTGCGTCTTAGACACAACGACAACTGCTTCGTGGCGGTCGTATATCGCACCTCGTCGTCCACTCCAGAGATGAATTCCCAAATAATATCATCACAGACGTAATGCTTACCTCCCACTTACAGCCATGTTCTTATCACCGGCGATTTCAAGGTGCACGACTTGGAAAGCTCCGCATCCCCAGCGCAACATATAAGTCCGAACTACAAGACTTTGTTGTAAATATCCCGCTCTACAATAACATCAGCTCACCTACCAGGTACAGAGCAGATAACAAACCCTCGGTAGTTGACCTCGTCATTACAAGTGAGGAGCTCATGATCGACAGGCCATTTAAAGACACCCCATTAGGCCTAAGTGATCAAGTCAACAAACTTTATAACTATGTGTGTTACGCCGAATATATGGAGGAACACACAGAACTAACACGTACGTATCACACCTCAAACATCCTGAACGACATTGTTGAGAAGACTGGTTGGGAGTTCTTGCAAGGTGGATCACCTGACAGCGACTGGATACAATTTGTTGGACGCCTCAGCAATCAAATCGCAACAGCTTCAGAAACGAAGTGGGCTCGCTCCACCAATCCCTCGTCTTTCATCAGAAGTAGAACCCGCAAGCGCATGTCAATAAGCAATGCAGTTTGATAAACTTACAGAGCTCGTCCTGGTCCCGAAACCTGGAACAATTACGTGACCCAGCGCAACCATTGTAACGTGATTGTCCGTAAGGACAAATTGACTCACCAACAACATTTGGCTGGTAAATTTACATACAACAAAAAGTTAATATATAAGCATGTTAAGACCATCCGGAAAGTGAAGGTCGGTATCCCCCAGTTAACACGCCGGTCGTAGTGGCACAGAGTGCCGAAGAGGCAGCCAACGCCCTACGAATGTAGTATTCGCCAAACTTCCAACGGGAAGTCCGCCCCTGTTACAAACCCACATCCCTAGCCCCAACTTCAACACTCACTAACATCGGTTTTACTGCCACAGCTGTGCTGAAGAAACTGCTCTCATTACACATCTACAGCCCTCCTGGAATTGATTATACTAACCTGAGGGTGCTGAACGTAGCAACAACAATGCTGGCCGGGTCATTATCACATTTCTTCCAAATATGCTTGGATAAGCATCCGGTAATCTATGCACAAATTAACCTTGGTTGCACGAAATAAACAGTTGCACAAAAACTCATTAAGCCTACAACCATATATGCTTTGTTGCGTGCAGAACCAAATCTTCTTAGGACAAGCGGATTAGTGTACTGCAGTGTACCATCGTTTACAAAATGGCAACCTACCAGAGCTGGCAGTGTGAGTCTTTTGTTTTGTGCAAAATATCGTTTTGATTTTCTTAAAGCGATCTTTTCCAGAGGTAACGAACGTCCGGCGAAGCGTTGCATCAATTTTGGCACGTCGCTATAACAAATAGTAATAATGGACCGTCAATGACTTTTATAATGACATGCAAAAGAAAAGCGAAAAGCGCGTGTATTTTATTCTGGTCTCAGAAGAATGGAATCTGAGGCGAGCTATCGGTTATAAGGTGACAATTTTCCCGTCATCAGTACGGACAGGCCGGCAATGCATGTGGGTTTGCCAAATAAATGCAGCTGACTGTTTCATATGCATAAACCACGACATTTCGATGACCTTCTGCTATGGAACTAACCATCTGTCGGTCACAATTTGCTGTGAGCATATTGTATCCCAAGAAAAACGACAGTGGCTGGAGCTAAACGTTGTGGATTGTGTAACAGTTAGGTCGGAAAGGGGAACAGTATTCAAGTTTAGAGAGCTTATAGGTCTGCACAAGCGCGTCCGCAACCACAAGGTACACAAGATAGTCCAACACAGAAGGGACTAGGTTAACCCTATAAAAAACAACTAAGGCAAAATGAGTTGTATCCCCTTGTGCGCATGTTGTATCCTTGACCGCTAACAACCTACAGTGAGGCCATGTCTAGCTTGCTGGAGCTCAAGTGTTGCTCAGCTGCATGTGTACAAAGTAAACTTTGCAGACGAGATTGCAAGTACCTAGGAATAAACCGCGCGTTGCAAGTTCGTCTCAACATCTAGGACGGTAACCAAGCAATGCATTACTTGACTGACCTTGTAGCACTAGAGCGGAAAACACTGATTTGTTTTATACAGTTTTATCACCTCCTGACTGTACAATATTCGTCTTAATGACATGCCTGTCTACATCCGGCTCACCACTTCTACGATCGGTTAGTTAAGACACTCGCGTTAGCTCCCCTGGTTTCCTTCGTCCCCTGCTTTCTTGAGACAAATGCATGTAGTCCACTGTGTCCGAACTTATTGCCTCATGACATCCTGCGCTTGAGTACGCGCTTCGCCTCGGACTGTTATTTACTAATCTTATACATTGGTGACCCCCATTTCACACGCGCTAAGTTAAACTTTTGCGATGTTGTGTCTACCTGGAAGCTGCATAACTGCTGGTGGGGCTGCTTTAAACGAGCCTTCGATGCGTATCTCAAGAGCTCGTCTCGCCTTCTCCAGGCTGAGGCATCTATGGTGCCGCCATGACATCCGTCTCTCCATCATAAGACGGATTTATAGTTCCACTGTCCGCGCTGTACTATTGGACGGTTGCGAGACTTCGCCTGCGCGTACCGATGACCTACGTTGACTGTCTGTCTTCGAGAACCGTTATTTGCGGTCCATCGCCCGTATGTCATGGCTGAACCACGTAACTAACGTTGAAGGAAGACAGCGTGGCTTTGGTGGGGACAGCCACTCCCTGGAGGCGCTTGGCTAGCTGTGCCAACTACGATGACTCGGACACGTACTGCGTATGCCCTTTCGGCGTCTTCCGTGTCGTGCCTTGTTCGCAGTCGCTGGACAGGGTTGGAGGAAGCGGCGTGGTGGACAGCCTACAACTTGGAAAAGTAGGATGAAAAAGCTGACGAAACAGCTGGCAACGGTTGGTTTCGCCCGACTCCATGGATGGGGTCCCAAAGATGCTTAGTGCAATTGGTTGGAAACGTTGGAAGTCAAGGCTCGAAATCGAACTCAGTGGCGGGCGTGTATCTCTGCTTGTTGCGGTGATTCCGCTTCCCACCCCCTAACAAACATCAAAAATAAACTCAAAAACAGTGAGTGGAAAAGTGGACAAAAATTGTTTGTTTTCTTTTTCCTATTCTGCCTATTCCTATTCCGCCATGGTTCCGAGGGCACAATATCTCTATGCAGATTGTGGTATATATATGAATACACAATATATATATACATATATATTTGATGAGTTCGTCCATTTCCACTGATTTCATAGGTGCAGTCATTAAATACCTGCTTAGCTTTCATCGATTTATTGTAATTTTGTTTATTTCTGATCAGCATTATGCATGCCATACAGTGTGCCTCTATACAGAGCGTCACAACCACCACTGCCAGGCAAATTACCAACGCTCCAGAGGACAGGGTTGGCTCCGAGGCACACGACTTCCGGGCATGTGGAGGACCATCCGACGGGGAAGACAATGCGAAGGAAACCGACAACCATTTACATCAAACATCGCCTACTCATGAAAATATTCTACTTTGTTCACATCAGAAAGCAAAGTATGAAACCACGAAGCGGGCGATTTTAAGGGAGTCACGACCCAGCTCAGTGGTCTCAAGCTGGGTAATTGCAAACCGTCGACATCTTTTTCGCGAAATTCGCACGTTGCTAGTCCCTCATTCATGAACGAAGACGGGATAAACAATGAACAATGAATTTATACGGGTTAAGAAGCGTTGCTTTACAATCCCGTTGGATAGTTGCAGGGGATATCAATATAACAATAATGATGAAAAGGATATTAAAATAGTTAACACTTTAAATATGAAAATAAGGACTTATCGTTTGCTTCGCTGCAGCCCTGCGATCCTCTTAGATTCACAGCATCCACAGTTAACAACAAATAATTTCATGGTAAACTCCAGGTGTAGGATGGAGATGTAGTGTTAAGTAACAAAGTGTAAGTGGATGAGTGCATCGTCCAACCGTCTTTTAAATACTGCTAGTGTCGGTGCAGAGACGACCGATTCTGGCAGAGCATTCCACGGGTGACAGACACGGATGGAAAAGAAATTTCTGCGGCACTCCAGATGACAGTATTGTTCTGCGAGTTTTAATGAGTGGCCCCTCAGGTTTGTATTGCTGCTGAGTTGCAGTTAAGGGCGGCACACATGATGTGGGTCTCGCAGAATCAAATACGCCATAATCAGGTCGCCTCGTGGTCTGCGATAGCTTCCACTGAACAATCCCAGTCGTCGCAGCCTCTCCTGGTGGGAAAGATTGCGCATTCCAATTACGTTCTTAGATGCCCGGCGTTGTGGCTGCTCCAGTGCATTAAGGTCGTGTTTCAGCCATGGATGCCAGGCTTGAATTGCATATTCGACATGGGGACGAACATACGCACTGAGCATTTGTCGAAATATGGAGCTGTTTATTTGTCCAAACGCCCGCCTCAACAGCCTCACGTGTTGGTTCCCGGTCTTCGAGGCCTTTTCGGATTACCTGGAGCAACCCAAGTCATCTTGAACCAGGACACCCAAGTCACGTTCGAGAGTTGATTGTGGCAGTACATCCGTTCCGAGTCGGTATGAGTAGCTGCTTTGATGTCAGATGGAAAGCACCTTGCATTTACTGACGTTGAAATGCAGTAAGTTTTGGGTCGACCATTGATACACCGTATCTAAATCACTCTGAAGCACATGTTGGTCGGTGTTCGCCTGGATTCTGCGCCAGATCTTGATATCGTCGGCAAACATTAGGAAGTTTGAAGCGATTCCCTGTGCAAGGTCATTAATAAACACCAAAAACAAACGTGGACCTAGAACCGAGCCTTGCGGCACACCACACTCCACTTGTATGGGGTCCGATAAAGAGTTCCGAACTCTGACCACTAATTGCCGTTGAAGTAGAAAGTTGGTGATCCAGCTTAAAAGAAGGTCGCCGATCCCGTAATGCTGCAGCTTGGATAGAAGTATCCGATGGTCTAGACGATCGAAAGCCTTGGAAAAATCCAGGTAGATCACATCAACACCTTCTCCAGCGTCGGCTGCCTCGGTCCAACTACTGCGTGCAATTAGGAAATTAGTTGTACATGACCGCTGTCGACGGAAACCGTGCTGTTCAGGAGTGATGAGGTTGAAGTTTTCCAAATAGCACACCAGTGCATCGGCAACTATGGATTCCATGACCTTGGAGAGTATAGGAAGAAGGGTTACTGGGCGGTAGTTGGAGGGATCAGTTCTGCTTCCACCTTTGTGAATCGGGCTTATTATTCCAAGCTTCCACATGGCGGGAACTTGGTTCTGGTCTAAGCACCGCTGGAAAAACTGAGCTAATGGTCCTGCCAGTTGGTTTGCTGCTACTCCCAATGCCTCTGGACGAATGGTGTCGACACCCGGCGAGCTGTGTTTGCGTCGAGAAGTCAACTTTTGCAATACAGCCTCTGCGGTAAAATTGATGTGGGTTAGTCCTGGTGAGCAGAATACAAAGCTTGGTAGATCGCTTGGTGGCAAGACTCTTTGAAACGTGGGGGCGTATTGCATCTGCAGCGCGTTTGCAGCTTCCATAGACGTTCTTGTTGGGCCATCAGCCGTCTTGAGTGGAGGAAATCCTTGCCTCACCTTTCGTAGGCTATTAACGTGCGTGTACAGCAGTTTGTGGTTAGCACTGAAGGAGCTGTGGCTCACAAGTCGCACAGAGCAGTTGTTGGTAATGCAGTCCATGTTCCCAGATGAGCTCCTGAAAGAACCAACTGTTGAAGCATATGCTGTTTTCACCAGTTCGCCGAGCTTCGTAATTGGTTTGAACGTTTCACCACAAAAGGAAGTGACTTCCTCAGTGTGCTACTGGATCTACTGCAATCCGCTGATTTGATCGTCGATTTCTGATGGACCAGTAAGTGCTGTGCTCGAACCTCTTCGTTACTTGACACATTGTGCCAAGCGCATGTCGCATGTAAGCTCACATGTATGTACTGAAGTTATTAGTTTGCCATATAGTTATTGATTAGTGATTCCGGTTCAGCATCCATGTGACTCAAACAAATTTCAGATAATTCGTGAGTAGCAGGATTTTCGTTGTAATTTTGAAGTATTCATCCCAGTAGTTCACAAGCTACAAAGCGCAGCCTGGTCCGGAAAAACACCAGACGCGTTCCGCCCTATTGGGGCTGGTCAGTGGTGCGCATCCCCTCGGTTCCCTACTGGGGATCGAACTCATGATCGCTAGTGGCAGATACCTACTAGCCAGCAGCTTAAGCCAGTGAGGCATGGGAGACGTTGGCTAGGCAGCACAATAAATAACCATGATAGTTTCCAATGCTATGGATATAGCGTCTAGAGAGAGAACGCCATCGCTTCGAAGACTAGCCACCGTCAGTGACAGTGGAAAA